GTCAGTCGCGCGCGGAGAGTCGCTATTTCCCGTGCAAGCGGCCGAAAGCAGCAAAAGCGCGCGGGACGTGCCTAAGATTAGCGCGGGGCGATAATACCTCAAGGTCCGGCTTGTTAGGTCCGTCTTACGAAATACCAAAAAATCGCCGCGCGCGTCTGTTTACATCCTTGGCTACGGCCGGCGCGTGCTTATGTCATCATCATGTGCGCGAGCTTGGCACGCGCGACGACGATGACGACGACGACGACGAAGATGACTCCGACCGCCCGTCTTTGCAGACTTTCCGCGTCTCTCCGAGTCAGGGACGTTGCTGCCAGCGGATTTAAATCCATCGGACAATCGGGACACTAGCGTTCTCTCTCATTTCTGATTTCCAGCGATATGCAAAATATCCTATTCGCGTTGCGTATAAATGCTCTGCATTTTCACTCGCGTCAAAGTTTCAAGTCATTCGATTCGAACAGGTTGATGACAAAAGGTATAAATACGTTGTGTACGAAATTTGGAGAGCGAAAAAACAATAATGGGAAAATATAGATAATAATTTATATTAACTTTTTAATATAGAGAGAGACGCTATCTCTCAAAATTAAATTCTATTTTAATCCTTAAAAATCGCGCAAATGCGCATATTGGCGATTCTTCCTCCCAAGTGGAAATTCTCGATGCGATTCCAAAGTTACGCGTGACATCTCATTCTCTTCCTGACCCATTCTTTTTCTGCACGTTACGTGAAAATTGGCCGTTACGAAACGACCGAAAGCGACTTCGTTTTCACTGGCTCGAAAAGAGAAAACTAGTCCTCCGTCGTCTCAAAAACAGATCCGCTGGTCCCGTTACTCGCCAATGTCGATTAACACTGTCGAGTCGATTATATCGATCGAAATGTTATTCTTTTGCTGTAGTTATTTCTACTATATGACATGTTTATCTTGCTAATAGCGTCAATTCGCAATCAGTTTCGAAAATATAATGTTATAAATAGTATATAAAAAGAATAATATTTCAAGGAAAGAACATTTCAAAATTCGATATACAAACAATTTGAAATAACTTGTGACGTTCTCAAATAATAATTCGACGGAATTTCGAATTCTTCGATACAAATTCTGTATTTGCACAGATACTGTGTGTTCGCAATAATTAATTATATTCTTTGTTTGTAAATGGAATCTGTAAATCGACTTTAAACTCGAGCCGCAATTGTCAGTTTTCAATTATCAGTTTTCTGTACGTAAGAAATACGAGAGAGCATCCCGAGAGACGGGAAAGGAATCAGATTTAATCCAGTTGGAACGATATACGCGTGCAACGTGCAAGGCTCACCCTGGTGCCCCAATGTCTTACGCAATACGACTTATCATATTTGCGCGCACGCGTTGGCGTTAATTAACCTACCACATATTACTACGCGCGAATGCAAAAAGAATTCATCATGGAGACGTGGCTTCTCGAAGGCCATTAGATTTTTATCATGGCGAATTTGTATTCCCATCGCGACGCTTGAATGTGTGATTTTAATGTATGCTTCAAGGAAGTCATACTTTATGCCACTAATGCGAGAGACGCTTCGACCACTTTTCTTATGTTTACGCATAAGAAACCGACGACGCAGCGTGACGTGAAATTTGTGGCGCGTTCAAACTTGAATCAGCGAAACGTTCGAATGCCGACGAATAATTAGATCGCGCAACGAAAGTTCTTAGACACGCGCGAGCTGCGTGATTGATTGGAGCTAGATTTTCATGAAAATCATTCGTCTACGTTCCGACGAACCTGACAAGAGCCGAATTGAGCAGTCGCGTTGACGCGGCAGTGTATATTATTCACAAAGATTAAGGTCAGCGAAGAGTCTGAAAGACGGCAGGCGAGGGCAGGCTTTGGTGGTTAGAAATAGCGCGAGCACGCGACTCTGAAAACTAGTTTCAAAGGTCACGAGGTGGCGTTTGATAAAGAGGCAGCGGAAGTCGCTAACGCTTTACGGCGGTAGCGAAGTAAATAAGTGACTCTTCGAACTGTACAACGTGTTAATCGGCTGTAAAAAACGAGAGGAGGAACGATCCTCCGTGTTCGAGGTAGTCGAGGTAGCCGGCGAGGCGAATTTCTGGAGATGCTAGAAATTCCCTCCCACCGACTAGCGTACCGATTAGCACACGTTCGGTGAACTTGTGCGAGACAATACGGACTATCGATATCGCCGCGTAAACACACGTCCCGCCGATGGAGGAGGAGGTGAACGGACGCCGGAAAAGGTTACTCACCTTTTTACGTGGGTGTTGCTCCTCAATATAGTCGGGCACTATTCCCTCGTCCAGCGTGGTCGAGCCCGGGGTGCTGCTCGACGACGAGCCGGACGTGTTGTAGGGGTAGTGCGGCTGATTGTGCGAGGGATGCGAGGCCGCCGGACACGGGGAGCTTCTCGTCGGTACACCCTCCTCGCTAAGGGGTGGACTGGGAGTGCCGCTTCGCCAGGAAGCCCCGCTGCTGCTACTGCTATTCGACATACCGCCGACTCCCGGTGAGCCGGCGATCATGCCTCCGCCTCCGCCTCCACGACTCCCCCAGGAACCTGTCGCCGCAGATCAAATTCCTTCCACGTTCATTTCGGTCCGGCCAATTACCGCGGAAGCTCGCTTCATACGCTTCGGTAATTCAACGTCTCGCGTTTACACGATTTATTACGTATACACAGGGGCGTCCCATTCGTCACCGATCGATCTACTTTTTGAATAAAAACTCAAACGGTTAGAAGTAATCTTGATAATTCTCTTTTTATTTATAAGCACAAACTTGGGAGTTAATAGTGGAATACGATATCTTCCAAATGGCCGCCTCGGCTTCGGTTTGACGTTTTAAAAACAGCGCGAAATTCAAATCCGACCGGTGATGAATGGGACATCCTGTAATATACAACACGAAATATATGAAGATCAATTATTACTTATTATTTGTTAAATTATTATTGCTCATCGCGATACTTATTTTCAGTATTTCTTTCAGACTCGATTTCTCGCAAAGTGAACGAATCGACGTGTAAAGGAAAAATTCTTGTTGCGGACGGGAGAAAAGTACGATGATTTCTGAGGTTATACAAAATAAAGAAAAGAGTTTACTCTACACCTGCTTTTCACATCTTGCACAGGTATTTTTGCGGGAATGTCAGCAGAAAAATGAGCACAGTACCGTAATTGTATTGGCAGTGAAGTGGCGGGGGGTTGTGAGGGCTGTGAGGTGAGCACGAGAGCGACATAAGGACCAGGGCGGCAGCGCATTCGTCCATGCAATCACCGCGTTCGTTGGTGCGACAACCCTCACGTCCGCAGACCACCCTCTCGCCCCAACCGCTGTATGTCCGTTCGGAATCATTGTTCGAGCTCGGCCGCCGTTTCCTGGATCTGAAATATACATTAGCACATGCTATAGGCTCGCTAGATTATATAGCGTGCACGCGTATATCCGCATGCCGCGCGTTGCTCTTACAAATTGAAAATTCGCTATTACCCTACTTCAAACACGATTCGTTTTTCGCGACGGCGAAATTAAAGGGAATTTCCACGGGGGATTTTATCTCCCGATTAATCGAGAGAAATATCACGGGACTCTTTCGTCGAAATACGTGTGTGTATTCTGAAAACAGGATATATCCCCGCCTCGATTCTCGATAATCGCTTTTTCAGTGGAAGCAATTAATTTTCGAATTTCCGCGTTTCAACGGCGCATGTATCCGTAACGTCAATTCGTCGCGATCTTGGCAACTATCTTTAAACGATAGGTCTTGCAACAGAGAATACGTTCTGGCGAAACAGGCCCAAAGTAATTTCCTTAAGAGCTCTCGTCGAATAACAGCATAGAAGGTAATCGACGCCAGAGTTACCGGCGGTGTTTCTGGAATTACGTTTTTCCTGAAACCGCATAAAATGATACGTTCTCCGTCTCTCCGTTTCACCTCGGAACGCCGTTGAGCGAGATCGCGTACTCGTTGTCGTACGGTAATACCCCCCCGGTAGCAGGGAACCTATGTATAAGCCGATATAGTCACTTTTCCGGGAAAGACTATAGATTTCCGCGTAAATACTGCACGTGGAGTATGTACCGTTTGTATATAGACAAACCGCTCGTACGGGTCGACGTCATTTCACTCGTTTTCTCTACGACTCTACGAATGCTTTCTCCGACCGGACGGAGTGACCAAGTGAAATGTGTGTTTCAATATGAATCAACAAGAAATACACAATGCGACGCAATCTGTCTTCGGGCTGGAGAGAAATTTACAAGAAAATTGGAAATTGAAAGTCGCCTTCTCAATATATCAATAATATTTATATAACTAATACAATATCGCGGAAAACAAATTTCGATGTCGAAGCGATACATTTTCTTCTCGAATTATCGGAATAGCAAGTATCGAGATGTGACACAAATCAAGACAGAGAAATTAAAGAAAAAGAATTGTATGTCAATTGAATAATCATCAATTGTTAATTTGCTCCGCTACAGGCAAAACGCAAATAAGGAATTTTGATGGTTAATAATACAAAGTTCAAATGATATAAACGTTAAACGTGAGCATATGTTTTTAATGGCTTCTTTCGTCTAACTCGATATGAGCTTGTAATGTAGAAATTCAATCGTCATCAGGGATTGACTTTTCGTCCAACTATTCGAGAGATTCGCGCGTCTTTCCTCTCAAAGGCAAAGCGGATAAATCGCTGTTGCCGATGCAACATCCTTCAAGATGATGATCGTGCACTGCTAGGAATAGCGGACTCTCCCGGAGAAGGTGGTGCGGGCCCTCTCGAGCCTACGAAGGACAAAAAGACACTAGAGGGGCGGGGGGGCGCGAAAATGACGACGCAGTCAAGGCCGTCGACGCTAAGTCAGTCCGTTCCACTCCCGAAGCGGTACATTGAGAGTCGAAAGTGAAACATAGAATGCCGGCCGGCGTAGAGAATGACGCACGTACTAGCCGGTATTTCGAAAGCAACACCTCCCAAGCACACACTTGAGCACAGCTGTCCCGTTTCCTCCGTGTACCAATTATATGTGTCACGCCACTTAGAAGCCGGCGAGAAGGCAGGCGAAGGTTACCCTTTCGAGCCGATACAGTAACGAAGAAATGCCTCAGGCATTTATCGAGACGACTTTTACGGAATCCATCTCGGAGTCGGTGTCTTTTTTTTCTTTTTTTATCGCGAGACTTTTGTGCGAATTTTTTTTATTTAAACGACAGTGCGGTAAATATCGCTAATCGAAGCGATGATCTCTTCGTTCTTGTATCCCGTATTCTCTAACTCTCGATAGGCCTTCTACAATAAGTTTTATTATATAAGTCATCATTAATCAGAAGTCAGAAGCTAAAATATATAGAAAAGTAGGCTCGTGTAACTGCAATGCGATAAATTGAAATATCAAGGCTTTTCGAAAAACGAGCAAATGTAGTTAATTAATACAAAATTTCTGTCTTTTATTATATTCGTGATAATATCAGTGATAATAAAGAAAACGTATTAATGTAATTATAAAAATCATCGCTCTAGGTTAATCTTATTTAGCTAATCCTTTAGCTAGTCACGACTTAATACTTGTTTCGATCTGTCGTATCTTAACGCAGGATTAATTAAATAAGATTAACCTAGAGCGATGATTTTTATAATGTCTCATCATTTATTAGTTCGTTGACATTGAAGGGGGTTACATTAATACCTTTTCCTTCATTATCACCGATGAAGACTTTTGTAAGTTCGAAACATTTGAAACTTGTAGCGTTATATACGAATGTAATAAAAGACGAATTTTGTATTAGTTAACTACATTTGCTCGTTTTTCAAAAAGCCTTGATATTTCAATTTATCGCAGAAGCTAGAAATTGACCGATCACAGTCGTCAATTTTTAGCTCCTGACTTCTGATTCGTGATCAGAACTCAGGAGTTCTGACTAAACTTGTCGTTGAGCAGATATATGGTATAATATCTCTCTCTGCAAAAGCATCGTCACTTTGAATTGCGGCGGCATTCACCACGTGATCGTTTGAAAAAGAAATTTTCGAGCGAATAAGTGTCTCGATGGAGAAGGAACGAGAATGCTCATCTCGAATGGAAGATACTGATCCACCTGAACGCTGAAAAGCGTTTCTTGCAAACCTGCGCGCGCTCACTAAGTTTTTCATTTTCTCTGGCTTTCCTATTTTTCTTTCCACGATCTCCCGGATTCGCGATTACGCTCGATACACTCGCACGACCGTTGCCCGCTAATTGCCCGAGATTACGATCGCCTTATGATTGCCACGGAAACGGCAGATTCAAGGAGTTTAATTGGAACCGGCGCGAGGGGGGGGGGGAAGCGAGTTCGAAGCCCGTTTACTTTTGAGGTGAAGCCTTACCGTTACTCGGTGTATACACGAATTACACCGATATAGATTGAGGGATTGCAAACTCGCGAGATAATCGGTACACGGTAAGTAATTAAGACGAACCGGCACTTCTTGCGCGAGGGAATCCGCCGGCACGTAATTCATCCGGGAGTGCCTGTTTAAAAACAAGAAGCAACCGCCGGAAAACGCGTCGTTTACCACTCACTCGGACGAGCTCCATCCATTACCAGCCGGATCGGATTTTTATCTACCCCCTTAACCCTGCTGTTGCGTTCCGTACGCGTTCAATACGCTCCACTGCGAACTTACATCTTAACGCGATTTCAGCCGAACAAATCCGGTCTGTTTTTTTTCCCATTCAGTCGCGCAGAAGGAGATCCGCGATATCGTGATATTCGAAATTGCTAAGGAAATCGAATGGAACCGATCTTCTTGAGATTGCCGGTTTTTTTCAAGAAAAATCACGTACAGCGCTGAACACTTCCAACGAACCGACATTGAAAATTTGCATGTAAAAGAGCATGCACGCTGCAACAGTCGATCTATTACAAATACACCGTCATCGTATTATATAATATTGATTATTCGCGTAATATCAATTACTGCAGAGCGATAAAAACAGAGCATAGCTGAAAAAAATGTGTCTTGATAAATGCACGATGTAAGTAGGTAGATAAGCCGTCTGAAAAGAAAAAAAGGATTTTGCACGTTGAAATGTGTCCTCGCAGCGAAACGGAAGCCTTAACTTCGCATGCAAAATTTTACAACAACGAAGAGATTGATGAAACCGGCTCATCATGATTTCTTCTATTTGTCATTAAATGGATTTTCGATTTACAAATTCGCCGAAATACCCCAAGGTGGACTGGAATCACAATCCTTTAACATTTATCTTGGAGTATCGCGTATAAATTGCGTGCAAGTGGCAGAGGAAAAAATTGCCGTGAGAATTAAGGTTTCGGCGGAGAACCTTTCCTTGACTCTAATTGTCGCATTAATACAACGTTATACGAACATACACATATCCATAAGCTAACTACGTAACTGCAAACAACTGCTCTTTACGTTCCCTTATGCCGTATACCGAGTGTACGGCAACAGACATGTTTACAGCACTCACCACATTTCCTGGCGAGAACTTATTTTTACTCGACAGTGTTAGTACGAAGTGTTAATATGAAGGGAATCACTTAATCATCAATTAATAATTAAATTCGCGAAATTGATTTCTTTTTGAATGACTTCCGTTTAAATGATTTTTGACGTCAAGTCAAGATCTGTCGTATTTTTCAATTAAAAACTGAAAACAAAATTTCAGCACAAATCTAAATACTATAAACTTTGAAACATTCTCCTTTCTTTATTTAGAGAGAAATTGTTCATTCTCTTCTATTCATTTAAAATTTAATTATTCTAATCTCCGTTTCTACTATTTAATGTAAAACTTAGTGATAGTACTTTCAATGGTCTAATAATTTCTTGCGTTTGGTAATAATTACAACATTTATTCATTTTCATAATTTTATACAAATATACACGGCAAAAAAGTATCATGCTGAAATATTTGAAGATTCAGCTGGAAATAATTGTGTTGAGCCATCAAAATAATTGTACGAGAGGCTCATAGCTGCAAAAAAGTTTGATATTCTAAACAAGCGTTCTACATCATTATTTTGATATATAATTGAACAAAATTATTTTCAGATCTATATTTAATTAAATTCTTTTAACAATCCAGCAAAACTTCCGTGTATCTACGGTATAGTACCAGGAAAAGGGAGAAGATATTCGCTTCTCGAAGAAATTCAAAGTTCAAATGAATATTGACATCTGATCTTTGCACAAGTAGAGTCTGAGGTAACCATAAAGCCATTAGCGGGAAACGGCTTTATGGTAAATATAATGGCGCGATGTATCTATCCGTTATATACGGCCACGCTATGCGCCGATACGTATCGCACCTTCTGACAAGTCAATCGAGCTTGTTGGTGAAAATTGTTAAGTGGCACACATAGCCTGCATAG